AGGGCCTAATCGGAGGCAAAAACCGAGGAGGGGCGCGGCGGCGCCGCTTGGTTTCGGCCGTGTTTTCCGGCCGTTTGGTCGAAATTTTGGCTCCGATTTGGCCACAGGGAAAATCAGTGTGGAAAAATAAGTCGGGGGTATGAAATTTACCTCGATCGGCGGTCGGAAATCTCCCCGGTGAGGCGGCGGGTGGCGGCGGCCGGCGTCTCCGGCGTCTGGTCGTCTTCTCCGGCGAGGGCAGGCGGCTAGGGTTTTTGTAGTCAGGTGTGGGGGTTCTATTTATACCCTTTTGCCTTTTGATCTCAGCCGTCCATTTTGATTTAATCTGGGCCGTTCGTTTTTGATTGAATCTGGGCCGTCCGTGCGATTGCATCTGGGCCGTCCGTGCGCACGCTTGATCTGGGCCGTCCAATCGCGCGTACGCGGATCGCCAACGTGGCCCGTTCCCGGTCGACGTAGTTTTGCCACGTGGCAGGTCCTGGTTGGCCAGGACTGCTGACTAGGTCAGCTGACGTGGCTGCTGACGTGGCGTTTTTTTTTTAACCTAATTAAAATATTTAAAATAAAATAATCAATTTTCTTTTTTTCATATTTTCCGGGTGTTACATTGGCCGTTAGGCGTGCCGAGGTTGCTTCGACTCGGTCGGTGGAACTATCCAGAGCAAGTCCAAGATCGAGGTAAATTGCCGACACGTTTCCTGACGAAATTGTTCATTTCATCCATGAGCGTGGAGAATTTCAGGTCGACCTCCTTCGTGGTGATCATTTCGAGGTTCTCAAGTTAGGTGATCGCGACTTTCCCTTTGGATCGAGTTCGATTGGCAACACTGTCATAAGATTCGGCGGATTTTGGTTATGATACCAACTCGTTAGAAACTTTTGACATGGATCTGACTTTAGGAAAATAAAAAAGAAGAGAATGAAAAAGACGAAGAAGAATCTGAAAAGAGAAAGAGATGTGATATTTTTTATTGATTTCAATTGATAATTACAAAAATAGTGAAAAGGGCCTTTTATAGGCCTTGAGAAAATAAAGAAAAACTCCATTGGTGGCCGGATTCGCATAACCACAATTCTGCTTCCCGTTATTAGGCGTAACGGCGGCTGCAGGATGAATTGGTGATGGATTGGCGCCGGCTGCGAGATTGAAGAGATGATGTCAACCCTAACCCTAGTTTTCTTTTACTATTTTGCCATTTGATGTGAATTTCCTAATTTACCCCTCTTACTGTATTAAATTCTAAATAGTTTCTTGACAAAGACATATATAAAAATGTTTAAAAATATTGATCATATAATATGTAGTTTCTAATTCTATATTCTAACAATTTTTAAAGGATTTATCAGAGACATTTAAGCCGTGTGACAAGAAAAGTATACCTGAGTGTTTTATTACACTTGTACATGTGAGTTTATCAAAGATCCTCCAATTGACTTTGCAGTTGTTCAATCTCAGCTTTGAAAGCAGTGAGCTCTATAGATGTGTCTTCTTCCCGTTGGTTGGCTATGTGAACTTGTTTAGGAATCTTCATTAGAGTAGTTTTATATCCCTACTTTTTGCTAGAAGGCTTCGGCTTATCATACAATTTCCAATATTTTTCTTTGGTGTGTCTAGGTTTTTGAAAAAAATACACCAAAAATTGTTCCTGTTATCCATTCTAGGAATTGAGTTTTCTGAGTGACTTACATTCTTTTTTTAAGAGATTTAGAATTTCATGCGATCGGGGTTGAACTATTGGTGGGGGTGAGATTCTAACATGACATTTCCTCTTTTCCTAAAATTTATACTCGTAGTTGATCATATTCAAGATTTAATCATGCCAAAAAAAAATGAATACGGTCTTTTTATATAAACTTTCTTAGATGACTCCGTCATAGTAAGACGGTGATATTGGTCCAATTCCTACCACTAGGTTTTTAACATGTTATACTATTCCCTGACTGATTTATTCCCTTGTTTGGTAAGTTACGTCTTGACAGTCAGTTCATAAATTTGTCCGGCGTACTTGATTTTAAAGTAGGTTTTTGCTGATTGCCTATACTGTTTTTGTTGTGGGTAGGAACATCATGGTCTTACTAATATCTAGAGTCATAGAGTTCTAGAGTTATATCATGATCATAGAATCCTCTTCGTCTCAAGTATAGAATGTGAGGTATCCAGTTTTTGATCTAATACCAAGAAGATGAATGAGTTTGTCATTTCCCTTAAGGGTGGTCCCGATTGATTGAGACTAACTCAAATAATCATTTACTGTGAAGTGATAGGCTGTTTGAATAAGTTGAAACTCATTGATATTACTTCTAATGTGAAAGTGAGTTGTAGTGTTTTAAGATGTTATCTCTGATATTCTATGAATGTTTTCTAATAATTACAATAAAATAAAAAATAAACTATTCATCAAGAGAACACGCGCCTGTATGTCTAATAGAAGAGGGAGAGTCAGAGCTACTGTGTGGACAACCTGGAGTTGGCCAAAAAAAGGGACAAAATGGAGCAACTGTCATCACATATGCATGCGATTGTGTATGTAGCTCCCGAACAGATGGATAGGTTGCAGACAAATGCGTGTGGCCCAGATAGACAAATACGTCCTACTCCCAGATAAATGGACAGGCCATAGAGAAATATTGTAGTTCAAGTAGAAGAAAATGTAGCAACCATGGTGCACCAACAATTCAGATTGGAGCAATGCACAGAGGAGCAAGCCAGTACCATTGCTGCTAGGTTTGAGCATTTATGCAATTGAGGGAGACGATGGCTGAGGTCTTTGCGGTGACTTTGGCTGAGGGATGCTCAGATGGTGGTGACTAGGGTTGTGCGTATAGGCAAATTGCACGACTGTGCGACCGCGACTAGGCCATGCACGATTGGGCTGGGCAAACCGGATTCGATAATGAAGGTCGATCTTGGTGGAGATGGTTGGTCTACAGTGGGTGACGGTTAGGATTGTGGTGGCCAGCAATAAAAGCTGACTACCTTTAAGGTTTTCTTATTTCAACAACAAAGGCCGAATAAGATGTGTAAAAGAGTTTATAATTTCTCAACTTAGGACTTTGATATCATGTTAAGAATGGTTTAATGTTTATTTTATCAGCCAAAACCCTCAACTTTTTGAAATGTTCAAATTGTATCATGAACTTTTTTCATTTAAATTAAGCCTCAACATTTTTTAGAAATGTATAAATCACCATTTTACTATTAGAAAAAATTAATAGTCTCAAACATCAGCATACGTGGATGATGCCGTAATCTCTTTTAAGCTATATGGGTGCCACATAAATGACATGTGATGTCCAAGTAGACCCATATAAAAAGGGCTTCATTTGTGCCCAAGGAACCATTTTCCCTGTTCATCTCTCCTACATTGTCGATGAAGTTAACAACGACGCCCTTTATTGATGAAGTTGATGGTGGAGAAATGGGAAAGACGGTGGAACTCATGGATCTCTGTTTGCAATGGGATGGTACTTACTTATTGATGGAGCTTGCAACTTTTCTCTTGATGGTGGATGAATGGGAATTAATGGTGGAGGAACAAGGAAGAAGGTGGAGGCTCACAGAGCTCCTTTCGCAAAGGAGATGAGCCTTCCTTGGCGATGGAGCTCCTAGCCATGCTTTCTCTTGATGGTGGATGAATGGGAAGCTAATGGTTGAGGAATGGGGGAGGGGAATGAAGGCTCGTGGAGCTTCGTTCGCAAAGGTGATGGGACTTCCTCGTTGATGGAGCTTGTTGCTATGCTTTCTCTCGATAGCGGATGAATAGGAAGTCAATGGTGGAGGAAACAAGAAGAGAGTAGAGGCTTGTGGAGCTCCGTTCACAAAGGAGATGAGACTTCCTCGTTGATGAAGCTCGTGACCATACTTTCTCTCGATGGTGGATGAAGGGGAAGCCAATGGTGGAGGAACAAGGAAGAGTGTGGAGGCTAGTGGCGCTCTGTTTGCAAAGGGGATGAGACTTCCTCGTCGATGGAGCTCTTAGTCATGTTTTCTCTCGACGGTTGATGAACAAGGAAGATGGTGGAGGATCAACGATGGATGGACGAGAAACGAAACAAGATGGATTTAGGGTATAGATGCAACCCTTTTCATACGGGTTAACGATGTCATCTACATGTGGTCCATATAAACTAAAACAAATGATATAATCGTCTATGTGTACTAGTATTTGACAGTGTTAATTTTTTTAACAATGAAGGGGTGGTTTTATACATTTTAAAACTTGCAGATTGATTTAACACAAAAAGAAAAAAAAAAAAAAAGTTCAGCATACAATTTGAACATTTTCAAGAAGTTAAGAATGAAATCATGAATGTATCAGAGCCCTATATACACAGATTTTCTAAGATAAAAAAAAGAAACAAACAATTAATTACATAGGGTGTATTTTACCCTTATATCCTTCAACCTAATTTACTTTTTTTAACACATATAACATAAAGCAAACTACATTATCCTATCTATGTTAGTAAAAAAAAAAAATGAGTTGTGTGCTAAAATCAACCTAAGGACTATTGTTGGTTGTGGTTGTTTGGCTGTTGACCCTGTGTGTGGTTTTATGGATACAAAACAAAAAATAAGAGAAACAGAGTATCTGGAAAAACAGAAATGTAGACTGCAGAGAACAGAAGACAGAGAAATTTTAGGCTTCATTCATCTGCTGCTTCTACATTGCAGAATCTGAAACAATAGAAAAGAACGTTTTAAATGTGTCCATGACAACTTCTACATTCCAGAAAAAGATAAAATGCCTTGAAAACTAGCTTAATCATTAACTATTTCAGAAGTAGCTTGTTCACTAATACAAGCTTTACAATGCATTAACCTGTGGTCTAAAACCTTAGGTAAGCTTTATAAGTTTTACACATTGCTTTAATCTATGAACTAAAACTTAAAATAATAGGATAAAGCACAATATTTCATGGTTGACAGCAAAAATTGTCAACTCTTCAACAATATCACTTACATATAGATCTTCAATCGTATCATATCTTTTTTCATTTTAAGATAAATTGTCTAGATAGGACTCCGACCTAATCATCTCTATGGAGGTGATCAGTACCAACTGTTCAACCAAACCCAAATGTTTTTAGATCACATCATGTTTATTTATGTAAAAGATCTCCTATGCTTAACAATTATTACAATTTGTCAGTCAAAGTTTTGTAGGTGGAAATTAATCTCTCCTCAAATAATGGAGGTATTTCAGTAGTTTGCTAGGCAGTATCAAGGAGCAAACCATCATTCGGTGGCCTGGTGATTATCTCTATTCGCTTTATCAAAAGTGATATGGGTTCAAGCCCGATGGGCACAAAAACTTACATTTCATAAAATAATAATAATAATAATATCAGAAAAGAAAGAAATAAACAATATCAAGGAGAAACTGCTAGCATCTTGTGCAATAACATTAAGTTAGTAATAACTAACCAGACGAGATTCATATCCAAAAGCACGACAGTATAGCATGAAGTAATTAGCATAACGCCACTCCTTTGTTTTCAAAAGCTGCATATCAGGAAAAAAAATGATAAAAAAAAGGAAGAAGTATAAAGCAATTAGTCACTCCCTGCAAGAAGAATAACATATAACATAAGAACTTAGTAATGAAATACTTGCAGAAGCATGAGAAGCTGCATGCCTTCAGTTGTCCAGAGTCTAGTTGGACTGGAGTGATTTTCGAACATATATCCCTGTTTTGTCACAGAATAACAAAGGAAAACACAATGAAGGTACGTGGCATTCATTAAAAAAGTATAAATAAGCATGTCTAAATGCAGAGATGAGCCAAAACATCTATGAAAATCAGTGAAGTTACAGATATTTCCATCTTGTAGGTATCTTGTTGGAAGCCAATAAACATAAGTGTGCTTACAAGCAAAAAGGAAGAAGGCATTAAATCAACTGAAAATAAGCAGACTTTTGTTTCTATTATTTTTAAAGCTCTGTATAAAAATATTTGGTGATATCCGGAAAAAGTAGGAGGTTAAGAGTCCCACCCCCGAAAGAAAAAAATGCCAGAAACAACAACTATGTTCGAAATTATTAGCAATTTCTGATGCAGTGGTTGTCATAAATGAAATTTAACAGAAGATACTGCTCAAACCTCGGCCATAGATGATAATGGCTAAGGTTGGGCGAAAAAACCACGTCAAAACGATTCCGTCCATAAATGTCAAAGTAAATTTTACTTGATAGCCTATCAAATTTAGTACTTCTAATCAGAACTCTGCTCTCATACGCAGAGCTATTTTATCAAAATGGACATACACAATGGAATTAGATCACCACAATTCTCAGCTGCATATAAAAAAGTAATTAATTGGAAAGAGATCATAATAAATATCCTCGTCCCGTTACAATTCTTAGCATCCGTATTTTCATACTTGTTTAGAGTATTAATTAAATGGTTTAGTTAAAATTCACCTCCCAAAAGCATCGACCACTATCCCACTTAACCATGTTCTCACCAGGTGATATATTTCACTCTTGTTTTTCACCTCATGGTGGAGTCGGCTCCATGCTCTTCGTTCCCGTTCAATTATTTCAAAGGGAGTATTCCATTAAACGGGGAAATTGAAGTATGAAAACAGAAAAAGTTATTAGAAGCACCTGAAGGATTGTTTGAACCAGAAAAGCAGCTGGAGCAGGAAAACATGTTCTAGTTCAATTTGAGATGGTCTACAACCTCCCGCCTGAAATGCTTAATCAGAATCACCTATCGTCATGATAGGTTCGCAGGAAAAATTCTAGACATTCTAATTGTGCAACCTACATATATAACTTATCAAGCTACTTAATGAGCATTGTCTTTAAGAGAATACGAAAGACAAACAAATGAAAGAGTCTAATAGCACTAAATTCCATCAGTTGCTGAACGTCACAATGCTTAACAACAACAATGAACTCTGGTTCTAAGTTTCCACAGATAACAGAGAAGCTCTTACCCTGATCAATACAGCCACCGATTCATGCTCAAGCCTTGCCACAGGTACCGTTTCCCTAGCTTTTTTCTGTTTCTCTTTATCTTCATACTTCAGCAACAAAAGGTCAATCATCCATTTACAACTCTTTGGTTGATTGGAATAAACAATTTGCGGTTTGGATTATAACATGATAGAGCAAGTCAAGTTAAAGTCAACCATCCTGGATCTTCGTGATACAGAAACAACGCCTCAATAATCCATTTTCAAATCCCCCGTTGATTGAAGCAAATAAGTTTGTGTTTGGATCATAACAGAGTAAAGCTGGTAAAAAGAAACTCTTCCTAGATGAGCTTAAAATAGATTATTAAGTCCAAACGCAACTCTCTATCTATTTTCTCTCTCCAGAATCTTGTCTGCATCCAAGCAAAAATTATGGAAGTGGAAATTAAATACATAGTTTTACCATGAGAACCTGACGGATGTAAGGCTGTAACTCCTCATCAAAACTTCCTCTGTATTCTTCCCCCGCAGACCGTGTAAGGAAAAATTTCTGGCAACAGAAAGCAAACACAACATCAAAATCATTTCCAGAAACACTGAAAGTCCGAAAAAGGAAAAAAAAAAAATCAAATGTCCCAAACTGAAACATAAGTATGTCACCAAGTACACATTTATAATTTAAAAATAATGAAAAAAAACCTGCAATGTCCGCGCGAATTGCTCATCGGATATGATAAACTTGCCGCGGGCCACTACTCGGAGCTTATCTGGTGCGGAGATGAGATCACGGTCCTGCGATACCGGCCAACCATAATCCTCCACGAATATCTAATCCATTAGAAAATAATCACCAACAAATTAACATTCATCAGTATACACAAGTAGCATATCAGAGATAACTACATGAGGGAGAAGACAGAGACCGTCTGTTCATCAGGAACAAGTGACGTGAGAGAATGTAGTTGTAACTGGAAACCCTGCATTTTGGAGAGAGAAATCTTCGATACAGATTTACATATAAATATACAGATAATATAACTTACATATACGTGTGTATATATATATATATCTATATATAGAGATAAAGAGACTTTGAAGCCGTCTTCAATTTTGCAGTCGACTTCGAAGGTAGAATCGCCATGGTAGACTTGAAACTTTCGAACTCCCATTTTCTCTCTCTCTCTCTCTCTCTCTCTCTCTCAGAGTTTTTTCCACTTTTAAGTTTTTCAGAGGAAGAAAGCGGGAAAAGACGGGAGGGAGAAGGTCTATATATAGTCCGAGAGAGAAGCCAAAAACTACAAAAATGCTAAATGATTATGAAAATTTGTTTTAACTGTATTTTGAATTTTATACATCAATTTTCCAAATTAAAATTTCAAATAATTTAAAAACAATTCATAAATTATTATTTAAAGAAATTAGATTTTTGATTTTTATATTATCAAAAAAATAATTAATTCAACTTTGTCGTATCTGATTTTTTCTAAATTCAGTATTCAGTTAATTATTTAAGAATATTAGATTTACAATATAGTTTATAGTTAATTAATCTTCTTACACGTTTAACACATTTTATTATACTGAAAATCATAAATGCATATCATTTCAAAATATTAAATCAAGA